ATGAGGACCCAGACTGTGGGGGCGATATGCTGACTCTGTAAACCGCTTAGAGAGGGCGGAAAGCCCTATGAAGCGGTATATAAGTCTAACTGCTATTGCTATTGCTAACCATGGATAAATTCAAGAAAAGTGTCAGAAGAACACAGAACAATTAATTCAACTACTAGTGCTAGTTGTGTGGCTGCTCAGGAAATAACCAGGCAACGGGGAAGGTTTCTGTGGCTCCCGGTGTTTTTTCTGTGGGAAACGGGTCCCAATGGCTCTTTGAGTGTTGAAGGTTGCCGATTCCTGGCTTAGCTGGATGGCCACGCCCTGGAGGGAAGAGGTGGGGAAGGTGAAGTTTTTTGGGGGGGAGAAACATTCCCTTAAGATCTTCTTGGCTTACTTTCAGCCCCTCGTCCACATCTCCGCCAAGCATCTGGTCACTTCGGTGTCGCAGGAAGCTGGCAGCAAGACGGTTCTACTGGCCATGGCTCTGAAGGACAAAAGCGTCGAAGGCATCCGGACGTTGAAGGAACTCATCCACCGGTGCCGAGTGTGGTGATGATGGGCCGGAAGAATTCTTTGGATGCCGGAGACGTCTGGCTTAAGTTGGATGCAAGATTGATTGTGTACATTGGGGTGACCAATCGTGGCAACCTCGAAGGCTTGTGGACTTCAACTCCCAGAATTCCCCAGCCAACTCTGCTGGCTGGGGAATTCTGGGACTTAAAGTCCATGGGTCTTAAAATCAGGTCTGGAAGTCCACAAGTCTTAAAGTTGCCAAGTTTGGACTCCCTTGGTGCACAAGGTGACTTTTTCTTCTTATTTTGAACCTCGATAATGAACATTTGTGGGTAAGCAGACACAACGTGTTACATAAATATTCACAATCCCTGTTCCGAAACCTGTAAAAGTTTGCATCTATCTACAAGTTCACCCCAGCAGATTTTACATCATATTTTCTTGTAGTGATTTGGATATTTTTTTCCCCCCTGCGGAAGGAAACCCATAGAAGCTACAAGAGTTGAAAAGGAGGCAGGTTTTTCCCAGCTGTAATGTTTAACACACACACATTTCTTTCTTTTTTTCCCCCTTGTTATATTTCAGTTTTAGCATATTGGAAGTAGTTCAGATCACACAGTAGTGATTCTACTATCTTCCTTATTGAGGGTTTTCCTCTCCATCCATTCTCATTCTGGAAGCAACTGGAATCAGTTCGGAATAACTTTGCTCCTTTCTTCTGAAACTACCGTTACCATATTTTGTTCTTGCTGGAGTAAAACAATAAAGGAATTGCAATATGTTTACAGTGATGTTGGTCTGTTTAACTGACTCCTTAAAAGTGTAGGAATTAAGCACCACCCCTCTCCTGGAAGAATGAAATATCCTGGGAAATATTGAAAAGGCAGAATATTATATTTCCCTGGATCAGAAATGGAGAAACATGTTTTAGGTAGGAAGCAGATTAAGCACTCTTAATAGCCCCCACCTTTGTCAACAGGCCATTAAAAGGCCTGGGCCAGTCTACTCTACATAACAAAGACCTCCCCCTTCAACTCCAGCATGAGGGATTAAGGCATGGTAGAATTAGCCCTTTACCCATCTCAACACAGGGCACTTGGGAAGAAGCAATGCTCAACCAAACTTGGACTCACAACAAGCCTAGAGAGTTGCCCCTGCATGGACCCTTGGGAGTCTGACAACCAGAATTCAAGATCAAAGGCCAGAGAGGGCATAAAACCAAGAACGTTCAGCCTCTTGGTCTCTTTTTTCTTCTTCTTCACCCAACATCTGGAAGCCTGGGACCCCCCTGTTCTGTTCAGGAGCTCAAGCCGTGTGATCCTGTCCACCATGAAACCATCTTTTCCAGCAGCCTCCATGTTTCCAGTGTCTTTTCCCCCACTTGGAGCTGAACCCAGAAGGACATTTTCTTCCAACAAAATAAAGTTTAAAAAGTATTGTTTCCACCCTATCCTGAGGAGGAGGAGGAGGAGGAGGAGGAGGAGGAGGAGGAAGAGCATGTCTAGCTGGGGAACTCTGGGAGCTGAAGTCCGTACATCTTAAAGGGGCCAAGACTAAAAAAATAGTCTGGATCGGACCATGAAAGATGGAAAACGTAACAAACTGAAATGATGACTTTGGTTCCGGAAATGAACATGGGAAGGGGAGTGGCTTAGCTGGGAGGTGGCTTAGCTGGAGCCAGCTAAGGTGGCTTAGCTGGAAAACCTGCAGTTTTTCTTGGCAAGATTCCCCAAATGGTTGGCCCTTACCTGCTTCCTAGGCCTGAGAGAGGGACTGGCCAAAGTCACCTAGCTAATTTCTAGCCTCTGGCCTTCACCGCTACCCTAAACTGGTTTTCTAGGATTAAATCTTTTGAGTCTATTCCTGGGGCAGCCAATCGTGGCAATTCGATGACCTGTGGACTTCAACTCCCAGAATTCCTGAGCCAGCCTGCCTCAGGAATTCTGGGAGTTGAAGTCCGCAGGTTGTAAAGTGGCCATAGTTCCGTGATGGCTAACCCATGGCATGTGGTGGCATGCAGGGCCATCTCTGTGGGCATGCGCATCGGCAGCTGCTCTTCTGGTTTCTGGTGCGCGTGCCCATGTCGGCTACCTGGTCCTTGGGTTTCTGGGCCTCCAGCGTGCGCGAAGACCAACTGGAAAACTTGCAGCTGGTCTTGGGGCTTTCGGCGCATGGGCAAAGGGTTACAGTTTTGGCACTCGGGGCCAAAAAGCTTCACCATTACTGCCACAGTTGCTCTGCCCTGTTCTATTCCAACCCCTTGCCCTGCGGAAGAATGCATGGCCTTTTGGGTTATAAGTGGATAACTATTTGAGGGGCTGCCCCAAAAATAGCAATAGCAATAGCAGTTAGACTTATCTACCGCTTCATAGGGCTTTCAGCCCTCTCTAAGCGGTTTACAGAGTCAGCATATTGCCCCCATATTGCCCCCAACAACAGTCTGGGTCCTCATTTTACCCACCTCCGAAGGATGGAAGGCTGAGTCAACCCTGAGCAGGTGAGATTTGAACAGCCGAACTGCAGAACTGCAGTCAGCTGAAGTAGCCTGCAGTGCTGCACTCTAACCACTGCACCACCTCGGCTCTATACCGAAGAGGGAGTCAAGCTATTCTGCAAAAGCACCTGGGGTTAGAATAAGAAGCAATGGGTGGAAACTAATCAAGGAGAGAAGCAACTTAGAACTAAGCAGAAATTTCCGGACAGTGAGAACAATTAATCAGTGGAACAGCTTTGCTTCCAGAAGTTGTGAATGCCCCAACACTGGACGTTTTTAAGAAGATGTTGGATAGCCATTTGTCTGAAGTGGCGTAGGGTTCCCTGCCTAAGCAGGGGGTTGGACTAGAAGACCTCTAAGGCCCCTTCCAACTCTTATCCTGAGCACAAACTCCCGCTTGCCGACGAGATGGGTTGGATCCATGCGTGGGGGAAGCTCTCCAAGCGCCCGTGCCTGCTTAGCGCGGAGCCACGGAGCGCAGATTCAGCAGGCGAGCGGCGCGCAAATCCTCCCCGCCCTGGCCAGAGATCACTTGGCACGAGTCCCGGTGCCCAGAGGAGGGAGCGGGGGCGGTAAAGGTAAGCCTGGCCGCCTCCCCGCCACACTGAGCTGGGCAGGGAGCGGGAAGAGGAGGAGTCTCCGGGGAAGGTGCTGCCGGGCAGCCGGCTGAGAAAGCGCGGAGGAAGCGGCCGGGAAGGCGCGCCAGGTGAGACAGCCGCTTCCTGGGCCGGAGAGCGGACAGGTAGGCAAGGGGGCGGCCGGGAGGAGGAGGGAGAGAAGTTGGCGTCGCCGGCCCGAGGAAAGCACGGGAACTCGCGCAAACTCGCAGGCTGCCCTTCTCAGCGCAAATATCGGGGTCTCCTCCAGGGGAGAAGAGGAATCGGCGGCCGCAACTTTCGGGATGCCGGGCAGGTGAGTTCTAGGCTTGGTTTGGGACCGGGACGAGCCGGGGGTCGGTGGAGGGAGCGAAGCCGTGAAACGGGGTGAAGTTGGCGGCGGGTTGGCTCAGACCCTTAAATCGATTTTTTTAAATCGGTCTGGGAGCAACCGCGTAGGAAGGGTAAGGGTAAATCCCCCCACCCGGAGGAGACTCACACGAGCCCTCTCTGCTTTTCAGAACCACGAAGGTAAACCGAGCTCCCCCAGGACCGAGGTAAGGCAGGTCTGTGTGGGCCGGTTTTCCAAGGTTTGAAAGTTGGAATGGGCCTTTTTATTTTTCGTTTGGTTGGTTTATTTCCAGAGGGTAAGCGTTGACTGTGAAGGGAACCGAGTCTTCTTAACAGGGAGGACAGAATGAGGCTGTTTGAAAAAGTACTGTATACTCTTTAAGGGAGGGAGGGAGGGAGGGAGGGAAGGAGGGAGAGAGAGAGAGAGAGAGAGAGAGAGAGAGAGAGAGAGAGAGAGAGAGAATATAGATGGTAGGTAGGTAGGTGGGTGGATGGGTGTGAGAGATAGATTGAGAGAGAGATTATAGATAGATAGATGATAGATAGATAGATAGATAGATAGATAGATAGATAGATAGATAGATAGATAGATAGATAGATAGATGATACATGGNCCAGCAGAGGTGGACTTCAACTCCCAGAATTCTCCAGCCAGCATAGATGGACTTCAACTCCTAGAATTCCCTAGCCAGCCTTGCTGGAGAATTCTGGGAATTGAAGTCCACACATCTTTAAATTGCCAAGGTTGAGAAACATGGGCATAATATATCAACCCAATCCAGCCATTCTGGTTTAGAGTTTAGTATGTGGTGTGATGCTGGCTTAGTCAATAAACCATGGCTAAGATCTTCCTGCTCCTTACTGCGGCTGCCCCACTGCCCTTCTCCAGCCCGCTGTCCCCGTTTTTCCTTCGCCGTCCCTGTTTCGCAAGGCCACTTCCCCGGGGCAGCCAGGCGGCCCACGATTTGCCCCGCTTCGCTTGGATCCAACGCTATCAAGCAGGGCAGGCGCTCTGCACACGCCCAGAGGCTCCTGGCTTCGGGGAAGCGCTCCGCCCAGCTTGACGCTCCGCCCGGGAGGAGGCAGGCGTGCAGGAGCAGCCCAGACCGGCGGAGGCGGAGAGAAACGGCCGCTTGGGTGAGTAAGCGAGCGAGCGCAGCGCGGCTGCAGGGGGAGGCGAAGGTCTAGGGCCGGGCCGGCCGCGGAGAGCCGAACCGAGCCGAACCGCGCGCTTTGGAGAGCCGCAGCTGCCCCCAGCCGCATCCTGCGCGCAAGCCGGGCTGGCTGGAGAAGGCGGAGGCCGGGCGGGCGCTGCGCCTTCCCTTCTTCTCCCCCGCGGAAGGGGGCCCGAACGCCGCACCCTCCGTCCTCTTGGACCGCGCGGCTTGGGAGGGTTTGGGTTCCCAGCCTTCTGGCGCTCCTCCGCCGCTTCCCCCGGAGAAGGCAGCCTGCAAGCGAAGGCGCCCCGTCCCCCTCCCCAGGCTGGGCAAGGCTCGCCTCGCGCGCGGGTTCCGGGTCGGCACGAGGCTCCGGTCATGGTTTGGGGCTGGGGGGGCCTCGACCCGAGCCAGGCTGAGCGCGAGTCCGTTGTCAAAACCTCGCAGGAGACAAAGTGAAGGCGGATATTTAGGAACCAGGCGAGGGCGACGCGAGGTTTAAGGCGATATCGAAAGTGGTTTTACCTATTCATTGCTTTTTGCTTTGTTGTTGAGAGAAGGAGGGAGGGGGGAAGGAGGGATGAAAGAAGGAGAGATGGAGAGTGAGAGGGAGGGAGGGGAGTAGGAGGGAGGGAGGGGAGTAGGAGGGAGGAAGGAGAGATGGATTAAAGAATGAAGGAGAGATGGAAAGTGAGGGAGGGAGGAAGGGGAGTAGGAGGAAGGAGAGGTGGATGAAAGAATGAAGGAGAGATGGAGAGAGGGAGGGAGGGGAGTAGGAGGGAGGAAGGGGAGTAGGAGGGAGGAAGGAGAGGTGGATTAAAGAATGAAGGAGAGATGGATTATGAGGGAGGGAGGGAGGGAGGGGAGTAGGAGAAAGGAGAGATGGATGAAAAAATGAAGGAGAGATGGAAAGTGTGAGGGAGGGAGGAAGGGGAGTAGGAGGAAGGAGAGGTGGATGAAAGAATGAAGGAGAGNTCCATGTCTCCAGTGTCTTTTTCCCCACTTGGAGCCGAACCCAGAAGGACGTTTCTTTCGACAAATAAAAGCTGGTGTTTTTTTGCAAGCCTCGTCTTGAGTCTCTCTCTCTTTTGGCATTTCAGTGGCCCCGAGAAACTGCTGGAACCTTACAATAATAATAACATTTTTTCTGTTGTAAGAGGAGGGGGTGGGGGGGACTTTCATCCCAACCGTTGCATCTCTGCAACTACGTTTAGCTGTGGTTTATCAAAGAAACCAACATGGGTTTGATCGTAATTTGTGGACGACAAGCCACATTACCATGGGTTACCGTCCCTGGTGAAATCTACATTATGGCAGTGTTTCTCGACCTTGTTTCTCAACCGTGGCTCCTTGCAGATGGGTGGACTTCGACTCCCAGAATTCCCCAGCCAACATGGCTGGCTGGGGAATTCTGGGATTTGAAATCCACCCATCCCTTAGGGCAGTGGTTCCCAAACTTGGCAACTTTAAGACTTGTGGACTTCAACTCCCAGAATTCTCTGCTGGCTGGAGAATTCTGGGAGTTGAAGTCTACAAGTCTTAAAAGTTGCCAAGTTTGGGAACCACTGCTTTAGGGGCGCAAGGTTGAGCAACACTGCAGTAGGGAAGGCTTTAATGGTGAGATACGGAATCCTTAGCCCCCTTCCAGAAAGTTTGAAGATAAACCAAGATTGCTAACCGAGATCCAGAACCATAATCCACAGCCAGCAGGAAGAGGCTGAAAGACACAAGGCATTCCGGAATGGCGAGCTTTTCTATGGAACTCTGCTGCCCTCTAGAGGAATGACTGTGCCAACACACTCCCGGCCCAGTTTCCTCAATAGCACACCCACCAGATGTGCAGGGACTTCAACTCCCAGAATTCCTAGCCAGCCTCGCCTGGAACTCTGGGAGATGCAGTCCAAACAGCCCTTGAAGGCAGCAGATGAGGAATTCCACCTGATCATGCTTTTTTTCCCCCATTTTCGTCTTGAACAAGTTGGCTAAGATTTTTTTTTTTAAATTCAATGCAACCGTGGAATAGTTTGCAAGCATTTTCTCGGCTGGAGGGGAAAACTTCTCAGAAATTTTCTATGTAATAATTTCTGAATTGGGGATGGTTTTCTCCCTGAAGAGCTGTGTGTTTTTTGGGTTTCCTGACTTATTTTTGTTTGAAAGCACTTTGTCTCGATTTTGCATTAATTCGTATCTTTCAACCCTTGAGAGCACGGTGGCTCTCCCCCCCCTCCCCCCACAAGTCCATCAGCCCTGCAAATAAATCATATCGAAATTAAAGGTCTACGGTTTTCAGGAAAGAAAATAAGGGCCGTTAATCTCAGCGACATGCCTCCGAGTATGAATCAGTGCTGCTTAAATCAATGAGGTTTAAATTAACATTTGCTATATTGGGCGAATCGGCTGTATTCATTAGGAACATTTTGATCAACTATAAAAAGATGTTGCCAATTAATCACTGGGGCCACACATTAAAAGCCTCCCCCCCCCTTAATGCACGGTGGTGGGGGTTTTTTTTAGAACTGGGATTTGACTGAATGGTTCTGTTTTGGGGAAGGCCCACTCCTCCATTCAGGGACACACCCACACCCAGATTGGTTACGCGTGGTTGGAAGTGGTGGAGGGACGAAGAGTTAAACCCACAAGCTGCATGCACACAACCCATAAACTAGAATGTGGTTTGCTTGTTTCTCTCTTAGCCTAAAGCAGTCTCTCTTAGCTGTGGCAACTTGAAAGTGCCAACTCCCAGAATTCCCCAGCCAGCATAGATGGACTTCAACTCCCAGAATTCCCCAGCCAGCATAGATGGACTTCAACTCCCAGAATTCCCCAGCCAGCATAGATGGACTTCAACTCCCAGACTTCCCCAGCCAGCATAGATGGACTTCAACTCCCAGAATTCCCCAGCCAGCATAGATGGACTTCAACTCCCAGAATTCCCCAGCCAGCATAGATGGACTTCAACTCCCAGAATTCCCCAGCCAGCATAGATGGACTTCAACTCCCAGAATTCCC